TACAATGCCCGCCCTCATATTGCTAGGACTGTTCAATCCTTCCTTGCATCGCGACAGGTACAACTTCTTCCTTGGCCGGCGTATTCCCCGGATATGTCGCCGATTGAACATGTGTAGGATTTCGTTGGTTGGCGTCTCGCTCGTAATCCTCGTCCTGTTGCTTCAACAGACGAACTTTGGTTACACATACAAACAGTATAGAATTCTCTTCCTCAGACAGACATTCAAAGTTTGCTTGACTCCATGCCATGTCGTGTAGCAGCACTTATTGCGGAGCGTGGTGGTTACACAAAATACTGATTTCGATCATTTTTTATTGTTTGTTTGCTTTGAAAGTTTAATCATTTATTTGCACCACTACCACTCAACTGTGTATTAAATTTCATTCAATTATGACGATTCCTTCATGGTGTTGCAATTTTCACAAACAGGAGTTTATTATATAGATTATTATTTTGATTAGTAAAATTTCTCTTCAGATGGGCCAGTTTTAAATTCACCCCATCATAATCTAAGATTGAAACTTGACTAAATTTATTGGTTTTTCTGAAATTAACAGTGGAATTGAATTATAGTAATATTTGGGGGCCATATTGGAATTTCCGAAAGAGATCCGAAGTTCGGCATTTCGTCAGTCCCGTGAGTGTCGGATTTAGAGTCCTATTCTTCCTTTTCTGTTCGTTCAATTGCCAACGCGCTAAATAGATTTCTAGGTTGCGATTTTTCTTTAAGCTGGGGGTGGATACAAGATGCATACCTTTTAAATTTTCTCCTTTTCCGATGTTTTTTTACAATTTTTATTTCGTTTATTTATTTTCTTACAGGCTGCTGCCGAAAGTTTGCTAAGAATTGACGATGTTCTGCAGCAGATCGCAGAATATTTCGGCAGAAAATCGCAGAATATTATTAATTTTTTTTAATAGTCTTTCTCTCAGAAAATTATTTAATCTTAAATAGCTTTCGTTGACCTAAAAAATATCCTAAAAAAGTTCCTAAAAAATATTTCGTCGGAAGTGCCGCTGCATTGGAAGCGCCGCATGTAGGGAAAAAACAAATTTTTTTCGATAGCGCCTCGGCTCTTCCGCCGAAAAATACGGTACTAGCACTAAAAACTATTTTCATTATTATAACATTTTCAATTAGTTCATACAGAAAAAAAATTTCATTGGGAAAAATAAAGTTTAATAAAAAAATGTCTGTTAGAATAAATTTGCAATAATGTTAAGATAATGTGTGAATTTTGACTTCCTTTAAAGTTTATGGAAGGAGAGCCTCATTGTTTCATTTTAAAAAACTCAACGTATATAAAGCACACTTGGATGTGGCATGAGCGACTGGTTAGGCTTACCACACAGCACTATCTGACCTAACACGTGCTACCTATTCGTAAAAGACAGCCGGCAGAAAAACTTCTCTTTTATGTAGATTGCAACAAGAACGGGGCTTGCATGGTGCTAGCGCCTTTTCTTCTTTAGGGAACGAGTGGCTGGCGCTCCTTTTCTCCCACTGCGTTTCGGGATCTCGGTATGCTCTCAGCCAGGCATGAGAAGTAAAAGCTTTTTTCTTACAAACTGGGAGGGAAGTGAATTCTTCTATGTCATAACAACAATCTGTAGGAGGGTGATATTGCAAGTTGAAATGCGTAATTCACCTGTGATTTATCGTTTTTTACTGAGATACAAGAAATTTTTTTTAAGATTCAGAGAGGAGAATCTTAGAACTTACTTTTTTAAAACTATTTTGTGAAACTACAGTTTTTCCTAAGTTGAATTTGTGAAAGTACTGCTAAACAGTAGTAAATTTGCCCTGAACAATCCCCTGATCATATCAATGTAATTTTTACCATTAGCATAAAAGAAATAATTTCCAACTTTTATCCATAGAGCATTAGAAAATTCATATGCCATTTCAGGTTCAGGGCTATTTGCAAATTGAAAATCAGCACATGTAAAACTGGATTCTGCCATAGCTTTGATATCTTTAGATATACCCGGCCGAAAAACGAAAGTTCAAGCCAGCCTCAAAGTTTTAACATTTCCAAATCCAGCTAAGACAAATCTACTGGTCCAGCATCATAGGATTGGTGGAAGCCAACAGCTGAGACGACAGGTCAGCATACACTTCCCTTCACCTGTATGAAAGTGAATTGCTGGCCTATAGTCAACAGAGCAATATGAGTCACTCGTTGCCCAACGGTTAAAAGCAAAGCATTTGCTGATTAAAATGTATAGGGTAGCCCTACCAATTACCCTAACAGCAGATTGTGGTCAATGAATCAACAACTGACAGCCTACAATCTGTCATCATTCAACAGCATCCCTCCGTCTTTTTGAATGTTACTAGAAGTCATTGACCTACCTAATTTTAGTTAATCTTATGAAAAATATTCATTTAGCTAATTAAATTAACAATTTGCTAAATAAATATTTAGCTCTCTGGGTAATTAATATTTATTTAAATAATTTATTGATAAATGAACTGAATTTTTTTAAAGTAATTTTTACATTTAAAACTAATATAATTTTTTTTGGAAAAAATATTTGTCACACCATTGAACTTCAACTCAGAAGATGTGCCACGCTTAAGCTATGTCTCCACTGATTAATACATTTATTTTTAAATTAGGTATAAATATAAAAGTTTTTCCTTTATAGAGCTTTGTTTAATTTAGTAGTGGAATAATAATGCTTTTTTTTAAAAAAAGTTTTGTACTTCATTTGCAAGTAAATGTAGAAATTTTAACTCATTGTCCATATATTTTACTAAATAAAAAGTAAAATAAGTATATAAAGAGTTAAAAAGTCCAAGATTTAAAATAAAAGCTGTGCATTTTAGTGAACCTTAAGAGATAGTATAGTATCCTAAATTTAACTTACAGCTGATAATACAAAGAGGCTACCTACTGATGATGATTTTGTGTGGCATAGACCATAAATTCATGTTTCACTGATTATATTTACTCTTGCAGCTAATACTTCAAAAAATAGGTATTGTACAAAAAGGAACAAATTCTGATTGTCTAAGAAATGAATGTACCCTTAAATTAGTTTAATACATAATCAAGACTCTATCTTGCATACATTTTATTGAAATACAGAAAGATATTAGAAAATAAATACATAAAATACACAATAAATTGAATTTGAAAAATATTCAATAAAATCAACAGAATTAAAAAAAAATCAACCTAGATTTATGTTTAGATTTCCTCTAATTTAACACTCTTTGTCCACATGGAATCACTTGGGCCATAGAAGAATTCTAATAAACTTCAACAAAAAATAAATTATCTTTCATTACAGTGCTTGACTTTATTCAAAATCCTGTAAGAGAAGATATTAAAATAAAAATCATGCAATTTAAAAATTTTATGCAACACACATGGGGAAACAACTGTTGTTAGCTTTAATGCTTTTTTTTGTGTTTTCATATTTTTTAATTTTTTGAAGTATTGTAAATTTGAAACTTGATATAAAAAGTGTTATTTATTTTATTTTGTTGACTTCTGATTATGACAAAAATAAAATCCTACGACACTCGCTCTACTTTCAACTATTTATGTTTGAATGGTTTTATTTTATATTATGACCAGTTTTCATATTTTGAGCATTATATATTTTTTCTTGAATTTATAGTGTTTTGTCGTAAACTTTTCCCCATAATTTTGTTGTAAACAACTGTTATTAGCTTTAATACTTTTTTTTTGTGTTTTCTTCTTTTTTTTTTTTTTAAAGTATTGTAAATTTGAAACTTGATATAAAAAGTTTTATTATTTTATTTTGTTGACTTTTGATCAATTATTTTAACTTCGATATTTTAAAATTTATTTATTTAAATTATAGTGTAATGGCTTTCCCGGTGATGATTCCAATAAGCCTCCTGAACCTTTTGCTGAGGAAGCAAAATATTTTATTGAATCCCGTTTATTGCAAAGAGATGTTGAAGTTTTGTTGGAGAGTGTTTCTAATAAAAATTTTCTAGGCACAATACTTCACCCAGTAAGTAAAAAACCTTATTATTACACATTTTATGAAGAGTCAAAGTTTATATATATATATATATATATATAGTGAATTCGCGATAACTCGAATCTGATAGGACTGACGAAAAACTTCGACATATCGGAAGTTCGACTTACATCATCATAGAAGATTTT